GGAGTAGGGGAGACTGACAAGCCGCCAGGAGACGGGGTCACGGGAGGGGAAGGACACCTGGCGCTGTTCTGAGCTCTTTTCTTACCCTGATCGCTTTAGTATTATCAACTGTATTTTAGTTATTTATTTTTACACAGGACAAATGAGGGCCAGGTTCACAGGGCTGGCGAGCAGCAAGGCAGCAGCCCAGCGCTTAGCTACTATGGATGCCCCATAGGCAAGGGATGGCCAAGAGGCTCGCCTCCCCGCGAGGGACAAGGGAGGCCCGTCTAAAGCCCAGCACCACCCTGCTGGGCCTGAGGTTGGCAGGGAGCGGAGCAGGGCCCCAAATGAATGTGGGCCCTCTGGCCTCTGCCCGCTGCCTGCCAGGAGGACCCTCCTACCTAAGCCACACTTCCGGCTTCCTCTGCAGCCTCCCCCTGTCCTGGCGTTGTGGAGAAAGTTCCCAGCAGGGAGGCCTTCGCGAAAGCAGGAGCGGCTGTCTCGCTGCAAGTGTCTTTTCTGGGTCTGTGTTGACACAGCCTGGCCCGAGGTCTGGAGGCTCCTTTGTGCGTGCCCGGGCTGCGGGGACCAGAGGCAGTGACACAGGGGGACAGCACACGATGACCGGCCAGGCGTGCGCGGTCACACACCCGTAATCCCAGCATTCTAGGAGGCCGAGGCAGGAGAGCCACAAGTTTAAGCCCAGCCTGGGTGATTTAGCAACTTTTGAGACCCTGTTTCATGATAAAAATAAAAAAGGGGGGCTGGGGATTTAGCTCAGCGGCACAGTGCCTGCCTGGCAAGCGCAAGGTTGTGAGTTCAATTCCCGGTACCGGAAAAAATGAAAAATAAAAAAATAAAAATAACAAAGGAGTGGGGGTGTAGCTCAGTGTGTGAAGGCCTTGTGTTCAATCTCCAGCACTAAAACACAAAAATAAATAAATATACAAACAACACCCCCCCTACACACACACAATCCAAATAACCTCTGTCAGGGAAAGAACAGTGTAGTGATGGTTATGGTTTGTGTCCGCATGTCCCCCCAAATGCTCATGCAGTCACGGGGCGGGCTTCTAGATATTTGATTGATCCGTGGTCCAATGCTGGGATTATGGGTGTGAGTGCTACACCCGCCCTGGGGAGGGTAGTGTTTCTATGTAAGGGAGGGGAAGAGGCTGCTTGCCTCTGCTCTTCTCTTTTTGCTCTTGTTGCTTTTGCTGTCTTCCACTGCCATGAACGGTTGCCCTCTGCCATGTGCCACTCTGCCCTGGAGCCAGCAGATTATAGACTGAAACCTCTACAAACTGTGAGCTACATAAACCTTTCCTTCCTTCATTTTGGGTGTCAGGTATTTTGTCCCAGCAATGAGAGAAAAGTAACCAAGACAGTGATCTACACAAGGGCACTTCGGCGCTGTCCCTGCTCCGGCCCTACATGTTTCTGTGGTGGAACAGAGGGCGGTGGGCCAGCGCGGCCGGCTGTGCAAGCTCGACACAGAGGCCTCTGCAAACCCCCGTGAAATGGCCCAGTTGGACCTGTCCCGCCTGAACGGGGGCTCCAGGCCCGGGAAAGCGGGGTGATCGGCGTGGCCAGTGTGCGGGTGCAAAGCTGCTCCGTGAACAGGAAGACGGCGGGGGCGGCACTGCTCAGAATAGCGCGGGACAGCCCGAGGCACAGTGCCACGTCTAGAACACGGCTCTTTTCTGCTGTCCGAGACTCGGAGAACCCAGCTGTCCGTGAGCTTAGACTCGCAGACTTCCCGAGTTCTTCTCCTCGGTTACAAGCAAAGCAGCAAACTGCCTGAGGTGCCAGTAGGGATCCGGCGCCTGCCTTCCCCTTCCGGTTTTCACCTCTACCTCAGAGCCACGGGGTCTAACACGCACCTGGGTAGATCTCGCACTTCACGTGTTAATGAAGACGCCCGGCTGGGTGCAGCTCCGTGCTGGCATGCGCAAGGCCTGGGTTCCACCCCTGCCATGCGTGCACACATGCACGCGCACACACACACACACGCACGGACACACACACATCCATGGATTACCTCATCACACATTCAGTAATTGACAACTCTATGGAGATATAACTAACTTTCTCTGTAACCCTATTTTATTTTATTTTACTTTATTTTATTTTTGTGGTTCTGGGGATTGAACCCAGGGCCTTTGCATTGAGCTATATCACCAGCCATTTTATTATGGTTTTTTTGCGGGGGGTGGGTTTGAGACAGGATCTCGCTATGCAGTTCAGGCTGGCCTTGAGCTCACTTTGTAGTCCAGGCTGGTCTCGAACTCGCAACAGTCCTCCTGCCTCAACCTCCTGAGTGCGGGATTACAGGAGTGATCCACCACGCCCGGTTGTTATGTTTTGAGACAGGGCCTCACTAAACCGCCCAGGCTGGACTCCAACTTCTGATCCTCCTACTTCAGCCTCCCGAGTGCTGGGATCACAGGTGAGTGCCACCATATCCAGCTTATTTTATTTTGAGAAGGGACTCCTGGCACAAAGAAAGGTCAGGAGCCCCAGCAGGGAGGGGCTCTGTGGACACCCAGGTGTGGTTTGGCTCAGGAGGAGGGCAACTGTCCAGCTGGAACCACCCCTGCTTCAGCACCCCCTCCCGGGGGCCTGACAGGGACAGTAAGCACGATAACTCACTGGGCCCTTCCTTCTGTCCACTGAATGGTGTTGGGCCTGTTTCCCACGGTGAGAAGTCAGAATCCAGCATGACAATAATCCCAGCACTCTGGGAGGCTGAGGCAGAAGAATTTCAAGTTTGAGCTTAGCCTGGGTAACTTAGCGACATCATCTCAATTCTTTTTTTTTAAAGCAGAATTAGACAGCTGGGGATGTAGCCCAGTGTGAAAGCCTTGGGCTCAGCCCTCAGCACCGGGCCTCAGCTTCTTCCCTTAGGACAGTGGGACTCAGAAGAGGGCAGCACCGAGACCCTCAGGACAGGGGAGCGCACACCGCGGAACTGCTTCCTCAGGGTCGGGCTGAGTGGGGCAGGAGGCTGCAGTGGTCACCGCGCTGCTCAGCTCCTGAGAAGCATCCCGCCCCTGGCAGCCGCCGGGCCATTTCCCCTTCAGAGCTGGCCTCTGCCTGCGGGAAGCTGGCACCTGGGCACACGGGCCGTCCCTGGCAGGGAGGGGACAGTTCCTGTCTCCCTGCATGCTGCCCACCTGAGGAGAGGCCACCCGGTTCACAGCAGCAAGCTCCACCCTGGACAACCCGCTGACACTTTCTCCAGGGCCCAGGCTCTGGGGGCCTCGCGGGAGGAGCTGTGACCCTGGGCAAGGACAACCCTCCTGCACAAAGGGGGAAGGTGGGGCACAGCCCAGTTCCGGAGCAGTTCCGGCTCTGCGCAGTTAGACAATGGGGCCACCCCGGCCACAGGGCCAAGCCCAACCCGCCTCATGAGACCTGCCTCGGCGGGGTCCCCCCGGCCAGCAGGAAGTGACCTTGCTTCCCATGGTGTGGCCCAGTGCCCGCGGGGGAGGCCCGAAGCTGAAATGTCCTTCCTACTGCGAGGCACCTTCCCCAGCCTTTGGAGAGAACTCCCGGGTCTGAGATAAGCCCGAGGGAAGGGAACGGTTTTTGTCCCGCAGCGGAGCGGTAGGGCGGGGTGAGGCAGAGCGGCCTGGGTGCAGGGGAGAGGGTTTCTCTCAGGGACGGGCCAGGGACACCCACTTCTGCTTCCCGCTGTGCCATCTCACCCGGGGGCCTGCAGCAGCACAGCCGGGCGGGACAGAGAAACGACCAGCGGGGCCCTGCGCCATCGTTTATTCACACAAGCATCGTCACCGCTCCCGGTGGATGGCGGGTGGCCCACAGCGGGCCTGGGGCAGGGGGCGCCCTGTCCTCTGTGGGGTCCCTGGGGCAGAGTCCTGAAGGATCTGAGTGGAGAGGGCCAGAGGGCCTTCTGGGGAGAGGTGGCCCCAGGCCTACCTGGGGAGAGGGTGCAGGGGCCCATCTTTGAGGCTCAGGGTCTGTGTGGTTTTCCAATACTTTATTTTTAGAGTGTTTAGGTTTGCAGAAAGTAGAGGTCCCCCCACCCCACCCCCTTTCCGTTACTACCCTTCTGCCTTGCTGTGACCTACCATCGGGGCACCCTAACTAAGTCCACAGGTCACTTGGGGTCCACCCTCAGTGCTGCGTAACTCTCCGGATCCGAACAAATGCAGGTGTCTCGCAGCCTCCCCAACAGCGTCCCACAGCAGTTTCACTGCCCTAAAAATGTTCGGTCTGAGCCTCAGTTTTAACATCTGTAAACTGAACAGGAAGCCCATATGGCTGGGACCGGACACAGGAAGTACATTTCTCCTGACACAGGAAGTGGCACTGAAACCAGCGCGATGTCGGCCTAAGCATCAGTCACCGGGCTCGGATCAAGGTCAAGTTTTCTTTGTCTTTTTGAGACAGGGTCTCGCTATGCAGTTCAGGCTGGCCTTGAGCTCACTCTGTAGCCCAGGCTGGCCTTGAACTCACAACGATCCTCCTGCCTCAGCCTCCCAAGTGCTGGGATGACAGGCGTGCGCCACCACGCCCGGCCAGGTCTAGTCCATAAGGTTGCAACTCCAGAGCTGCTGAATCAGAATCCCTGGGGCGGGGCGGGAATCTGTACTTTCTCAAGGTCCCCAGGGGCGCAGGGAAGTCTGAGACCCTCCGTGCCCAGGGCAGGGCCCCAGCCCGGGCTCCTCACTGCTTGATGAACTGAAGAATCTGGACCACTTCCGGGTTAGGCTCCAGAGAGTCGAGCCATCTCCCGAGAGGGAAAGGAAGACTTGTGCCGCAAAGCCGAGAAATGGTCCATTTCTGCCTCCTGGGGCCACAGCGCACAAGCCTGCTGCAGCTTCCTCTCCTGCCTGCGCACCCTGCACCCGAAGGGGCTCAGCAGCTGCGGCTCTCTCTGCACCCCCTCTCCAAGCACCCAGATACATCGGGGTCCACTGGGCACAAGGGGCATCCCTCAGGGCCACCTGTAGGGAGTTGGATTGTGTTCCCCCAAAATTCATGCCCCCGGAACCTCGGAATGTGACTTTATTTGAAAATAAAATCTTTGCAGACGTGATTAGCAGGGACCGAGACGAGATCATACTGGGTTAGGCCGGGCCCGACATCCAGTGACCGCTGTTCTTACAGGAGGTCAGAGACAGGAGCAGCGCAGGCCACAGCAGAGGCTGGAGCGGCAGCCGCAGCCACGGAGCACCCAGGGCCAGCAGGAGCTGAAAGGCGGCAAGGCAGGGCGCTCGCCAGGCCCTTGTGAGGGGCACGGCCGCCACCTTCGGCTCGGACGTCCGAGCTGTGAGAGCGTAGGTTTCCGCTGTAAGCCACCAGCGCAGCGTCACAGCTGCCCCAGGACGCTGACCCGGCGCTGCTGCAGCCGGAAGGAGAGGTCCGCGCCCGCCTAACGCAGCCCGCGTGCTCAGAGCGCCCCAGCACCTTCCAACCCCACGGCCGCCAAGCCCAGCGCAGGCACTGGTCCTCCGTGCAGGGTGCTCTCTTCCGCGAAGAGCTGCGGCTTTACGGGTGACCAACTCGGGTCCGGGGCAGTGTCTGCAGGCGGGGCCGGGCCGGGCCGGCTGTCACTGCAGCTTCATGCCACTCTGGCGCTTGGAGTCCTTGCGGGCGATGGGGCTGAAGCTCACGATCTCCTTGTAGATGTGCTCTGCGGAAGGCGGGCGCGTGAGCGAGGGGCAGGGCCTGGGCGCGGGAGGGCGGCCACACCTCACACCAGGAGCAGGGGCAGCAGGGAGTGTTCCAGGACGGGAAGCAGCGGCGAGCACCAGCTCAGAGAGAAGTGACAGGAGCCTCCCGCCGGGCGGCTAGGCTGGGCCAGGCTGGCAGCGGAAAGGAAGGAAGGAAGCAAAGGAGAGAGGCTGCGGGCGGCGGCCAGCCCTTACGCTTCCACTCGTCCACCGTGAGCTTCTCGCGCTCCAGAGAGTCATCGAAGGGCTGCTGGGCCTCCGTCTCCTCCTCAGGGTCCCGGAAGGGCTCGAAGAAGGGGTGGGCCAGGGCCTGCGCGGCGGTCAGGCGCTTGTCTACGTCCAGCTCCAGGATCTTCTCCAGCAGGTCCGTGGCTGCAGTGACACAGCGTGAGCCCCTCGGCCCGGGCCCGGAGGCCCCGGAGGCCCCGGAGGCAGCCACACTCACCCTGCGGGCTGGCGCGCGGGAAGAGCTGAGTGAAGTCCTTCTTGGGGCTCTGGGGCAGGGACTGGATGTAGGATTTGGCCTGGAAGAGGGAGGAGCACCGGGCCCTTCAGGGCTCAGGGCAGAGGAAGGTGGGGGTTGTGAGTGGGAAGCTGACAGCCGAGGGATGAAGGGTGTGGGGAGTGCGGGTGAACCCCAACCACCCCCAGCCCATCAGCCAAGCCCGCAGCCGAGGCCAGCCGGGCCCATGGCCACCCACCGCTTTGTCGTTCAGCTTCTGCACAAACCCGGCGCCCGGGACGCCGGTCACTTTGAGGATCTGGGTCAGCTGGTCCAGGTCTCGGCAGCTGGTTAAGGGACAGCCTCACTGTCCTTCCTGCAGCCCCAGCATCATCCCCGGCCCCTGTGGCCCTGCCCAGGCCCCAGACCATTTCCCACCTCCGCCTCTCAGGACAGAAGGCTTAGCCTGCAGACCCAGAGCTCCGCAGGGCGTCAGGCCAGGCCAGGCCAGGAAGGAAGGGCGACGTCCTGACACATGTCCCTGGGGCTGTGGACTTCCCAGCCCTCCCATGCAGCCACCCTGCAGCTTCCTGTCTTCTCTCCTGACCCCCGACCCTTGCACTGAGAGCTGGGCAGACCCCGCGCCTCTTCACCAAACACCTGCACAACATACACGCTCACTCCTCAGTGTGCAGGGCCAAAGTCAGGGGAATTATTAGGGACTCATTTTCTATTTTTTCTTTTTTCCCAATACTGGGGCTTGAACCCAGGGTCTTTACACTGAGTTGCACCCCTAGCCCCATTTATTTATTTAGACAGGGTCTTGCCAAGTTGCCCAAACTGGGCTCAAACCTCAGATCCTCCTGCCTCAGCCTTCCCAGTGCTGGGACTACAGGTGCTCACCACCACATCCAGGTCACACATGAACTTCTGTGTTTTCTTGCCTGGTAATGGGGATCGAGGCCAGGGCCTCCCGTGCGGTAAGCAAGTCCTCTAGGACTGAGTTACATTCCTAGACCTGGGGCTCATTTTGCCATACAATGTTTATCTTCATTTAAAAATTATTCCACAGGGAGCATGCATCACTGTTGCAGAAAGGGAAAATATTTAAATAAAGCATGTGTTGAAAGAATGGGTCCCCAGATGGAGCCTTTGTTTCCAGCAAAGGATACAGTCTTTCCCCTTGAACAGAGTTTTCCCGGTCAGCATCTCCGCCATGATGCAGCCGACAGACCAGACGTCCACTGCAGGGGAGGAGGGCACGTCACCACACGGCCAAGCAACTGAGCGATCCCTCTGTCACATGCCACTCATAAGCCAGCCCGGCCCCTCCCCGGGCGGCCCCCACTCACCTGTCTGGTTGTAGTGCATCCAGCTGAGGATGACCTCAGGGGCCCGGTACCAGCGCGTCACCACGTAGCCGGTCATCTCGGGATCCGCGTGCCGTGCCAGCCCAAAATCCAAGATCTACGGCTCAAGGGACGCAGGGAGATGGTGCTCGCCGAGGACAGGAGGCTCCGGAGCAGCTCCGAGGGGCTCTCCCAGACTCCCCCCACCCCCTCCCCCCGGCAGGCCTGCCCACGGCTGCTCACCTTCAGCTCACAGTCCTCGTTCACAGCCAGGTTCCCCGGCTTCAGGTCCTGGGGGAGAGGACAGAGGGAAGTGCTAGGCCAGGGGGCAGAGGTGGGAGGTGTCCTGGCTCCCAGGCCCCTTCGAACCTCTCCAGGCCTCAGTATCCTCACATAAAATAAGGACTGGGGCTGAGTGTGGTGGCGCATGCCTGTAATCCCAGCTACTCGGGAGGCTGAGGCAGAAGGATCACAAGTTCAGGGCCAGCTGCTTGGGCAATTTAGAAAGACCCTGTCTCAAGTAAAATTTTAGTAGTGTTGAGGATGTGACTCAGTGGTAGAACACTTGTCTACCGTGGTCAGAGCCCCGGGCTCCAGGATAAAGGAAGGTCCCGGGCTAGGTATCACCTGGGGTGGGGCCCATCCAAATCTCTGAACACCCAGCAACATTCTGATTCTTGGAGCCTGAGATGGGCACTCAAGGCTCACTTGTCTCCAGCAACTCCCCACCCAATCCCCCCAGACACAGTGATTCGCCCACACAGGCCTTCCCGGGCCAGGGCTGGGTCTGAAAAATCCACATTGCGTGTCCCTGAGGGCTGTCCCTCCCCGCCACCCTTTCCAACTCCCTGGCTGCCAGAGAACCCCGGCTGCCCCCACGCGGTCGGGCCCCTGAGGATCGGAGCAAGAACAGACTCACCCTGTGGATGATGCCGGCGGAGTGGATGTACTGGGGGAGAGAGAGGAGGGTGAATCCACTGCCCCACGTCTAGACCGCAGGGACAGCCTCCTCCATCCGGTCCCCGTGTGCCCCCTCCGGCCCTCCCCAGACCTCTGGCGCCGCCGCTGCCGAGCCCCGCACACCTTGAGACCCTTGAACATCTGGTACACCAGGTACTGGATCTTGTCCTCACTGAACTCCATGCCCATGATCTTCTGCAGGTCCGTCTGCATGAAGGGCATCACCAGGTAGCTGGAAGGCACGAGGGCTTCTTGGCGAGGGCCCCAGCCTCGCCCGGGCCCAGGTCCCAGCTGGGTGGTGCAGAGCTGGGGTCTGAGAGAGGCCTCAGACAAGAAGGTGTAGGAAAACCCAGCCCCTCGTGGCCTCAGGGCTCTGGGCTTACCGGGTACCAGGCTGCCAGTCGGCAGAGCTTGGTGAGCGCCGGCACTGGGGCGCATGCACAGGAAAATCAAACAGAACGGTGCCGCATTCTGCAGAGCTGCCTGCTCCTTGCCCCCCTTAGCTCCCCACAGCCAATGTGGCTGTGAGCCCCGAGCACCTGCCCGCCCTTCCCTGCTGTCCACCGTTGCCTCCCTGAGGGCCGTGGCCAGCTGAGCTGGCTCCTCTAATGAGCAGAATGCCTGCCCTTCCAAGAAGGAAACAATAAACCAGCTCTCAGGAGGGGGAAGAGGACGGTGGCTGGACTGTTGCACCTTTCATGGGATTGCAAAACGGCTCAAGAGCAGCAACATGGAACTGTTACTCCAGATGGGAATGGCAAAGTCCAAAAGCAAAGTGGAACAGACTGTAAAAGGAGGATTTCCGAGAAGAGGCTGTGCGGAGGGCAGCTCCCGAGCCAGCCTGGCTCATAAACCCGCTCAATGAAGCCTCATTGTAAGTCACCTTCCCTTTGCTTCCTTTTTAAAAATTTATTTTGAGACAGGGTCTTGTTAAATTGCTCAGGCTGGCCTCCAACTCAGGATCCTCCTGCCTCAGCCTCCAGAGTGCTGGGATTACAGGTGTGCACCACTACACCTGGCTATGATAACCTGGTTCCTGCTTCCTCCCTTCCTTCCACTCTGCTTAGTTCAAGGTGACCTGTGACTTCCCTACACGCACCACAGGTCTTTCCCTGTCTCACTTTCCCCCAAGTCAACCCTCCCTGACTCCCTCTGACTGGCCCTTACAGTGACCTATTCCCAGACTTCACCTATCATCAATTCGCATGGCTAGCCCAGCCTTCCTCTCCTGAGATCCATGTCTATTGGCGACTGATGAATGCATAAACTCTGCAAAAGTGGTGTCCAAGCCGGGTATGGTGGCACATGCCTGTAATCCCAGCACTCAGGAGGCTGAGGCAGGAGGATCATTGCAAGCTTGAGACCAGCCTGGGCTACAAAGTGAGCTCAAGGCCAGCCTGAACTGTATGGCGAGACCCTGTCTCAAGAAAAAGACAAAAAAAAAAAAAAAAAAAAGCGAAGTGTCCAATGTGGAGCTCATATTATCTTTCCCCAAGTGCGGTTCTTCCTCTACCCTGCATTCCAAGCAGGACCTGGGCAGCATCTCCTGACCTCATAACAGCCCCCTCAAAACGGCCCTGGACTCGAGGCAGCTGTGGAACTGCGTAAACCAGTGGCAGCCTCTGCTAGCGTCTGAGTTTCTCAGTATGGACCAAGCAGTCCTGGCCCACGCAGGCACTGCACTGGCAAAGCCGGACACAGCCACTTGATGCCGTGGGCCTGTGGGACTCTGCCAGATGCCCCACCAGCCACGGCACCCAAGCTACTGATCCTTGATTCATGTAGAAAGAGCCCCACGCTCCAGAGCCACACCTGGGCCATAACAGGGGACAGAAGTGCGGATGCAAACCCCAAGGACCCCGCTCTGCCATGGTAAAGCTGGTGAAGGATCCCGCCACCTCTTCCCGCCTGCCTTCTCTGCAGCTCCTCTGCAGTCTCACCTCCACGGCCCAGGGCACAGGGACTGCAGGGGCAGGAGGCCCCACCACACAAGAGACTGACCCTCCGTCTCCTTCCCAAGCAGCAAGCGAGAGCTGCAAACACCCAGAAGCCAGTGCACCAACTCACAAGTCCTGGAAGTTGCGCAGGGAGGAGGCTGGGGTGAAGACATCCAGGAGCCCGATGACCTGGGGACGAAGTCACCAGTGAGGGCTGGGCAGCCACTGACTGCCCTTTCCTTCCCATGGGCCCCAGCCACCTGCCTGGGACCACCCACCCCTCCCAGCCCACCTCCTCCAGCAGGAAGCAGCCCCAGCTGCTTGGGAGCAGAAAAAGGGGCAACACAGAAGAGGAAGGGCCCCTGCCAGGAGGGATGACAGTACTGGGTCCAGCTGGGGGTGGGGGGGTGCCCAAGTCTGATGTTCGGGGCAAGTGGCACAAACCCGCATCTCAACTCAAAAGCCACAGGAGGGAAAGGGGAAAAGGAGTCTGGTGCAGTAGTATACACCTGTAATCCCAGCTACCTGGGAGGCTGAGACAGGAGGAGCTCAAGTGCAAGGCCAGTCCAGGGCAATTTAGCGGGATTGTGTCTTAGAATAAAAGATGTGCGAGGTGTAGCTCAGTGGTAGAGCTCTTGCCTGACACGTGTGAGGCCCTGGGTTCAGCTCCAAGTACCACAGAAAGGGAGGAGGGTGATGAGGGCTGAAGGGCCTCTCAGCCTCATCTGTCCTTGCCCAGAGGGGTCTGCTGAAACAGCCTGGGGCTCAAAATTCGCACAACGCTTTGAAATCACTATTTGAAACATTCACCCTCCGACCCTGGGATCCTGGACCCCGAGCCCGGGCTGGGTCCCTGGGTTCTCTAGCTTTGTCCACCAGACAGGGCAGTCTCATGGTGATGCGCTCAGGCCTGGAGCCAGGCTGTCCAGAATCAAAGCCCAGCTCTGCCACTGACTGACCGAGTATCCTAAAAGCCATTCTGTGCTTCAGTTTCCCCAGCTGCGACCCGGGGCTGCTGGTATTTATCTCGTGATGCTGGAAGGATTCCACAAGTTAGGTGACACAGAGCTCTCAGGACAGAGCCTGGAACAGTGACTGTTCCCTGAGGACCTGGTGTCAGGGTCACTCACATGCGCAGAAGACACTGCCCGGATTCTGGTCTCAGCTCGGACCCCAGGCACTCTGAGACACGGAACACATCCCCAGGTTCCTCTGTGCCTGTCCTCTAACCACCAGGCAGTCTGGCCCTCCCAAACTCAAGCTGCCAGAAATGCCATCTGCACCTTCCCTGGAAGGGCGCAGGAAGGGGCCCGGCACCCCTCATTTTACTAACAGCAGTAAGAAGCCCGGAGAGCGGGGAGCAGGAAGTTCGCCCTTTTCCCGGCCCTGCCAAGAGCCCCTGGCACCCCGGGGCCCCAGCCAGGCCACCCCGGGCCTCCCTCCCCTCCCGCTTCTCTGCCTGCCCAGAACACCGCCCAGGGGACCCCGCGGCGGGAGCCCCGCCTACGTTCTCGTGCCGCATGTGCTTCAGCAGCCGCAGCTCGCGGTAGGCCCGCTTGGCGAAGATCTCGGACTGGAAGGGCCGGCTCAGCTTCTTGATGGCCACCTTCTCCCCTGACCGCTTGTCGATGGCAGAGCTGCAGGGGGACAGGCAGGGGCCACTGCAGTCCCCACCGGGGAGCTCTCAGGTCGCCCGGCCCCTGCACCGGACTTGGCCAGGAGGCCAGGCTGGGAGGAGCCGATGCCCACCATGGCGTGTGGGAGGCGGGCAGCAGGCAGTGTGGAGGGGCTGGCACTGTCCCGGGGTGGCACTCTGATGCCAAGGCGCCTAGAGCAGGGCAGGAGCTCACTCTACAACTGGGCAAGCTGCTTCCCGCTCCGGGGCCTCAGCGCTGTCCTGTGCAAGCAGGGGGATGTGCCCGATGCGCCTCTGGGGCGCCTCCTCAGGCCACAGCCCGGAGCTCCAGCCCTAACCCGCGCCCCGGGACCCGCTCCCCGGCAGCCAGCGCCGAGACGGGAGCGCGCGCCG